ATATAGATCACAGTACAAGCAAAGTCAAGAAGAGAGCAAGTGAGGCCAAGTAGGCACAAGACCTAGCATAATACAAAAGCGCTGATGATCACAAGGCTGAAGTGCCTTGGTGAACATATCAGCGGTGTTGGCCCAAGAGGCCACGTAAGCAAGGCGCAGCTGACCACGCTGCTGCAGCTCACGAGCAAAGAAGTAGCGAAGAGCAATGTGCTTCGTTCTGTGCTCCAGTCTGTGCTCCCGACCCAAGGCCAGCATGGCCTTGTTGTCTACGTACAGAACTGGAGGAGAACGAGGCGGCTCTCCCAGATCAGTCAGCAGGTAGGTGAGCCAGCGTAACTCCTGTGCAGCCATGGCCCCTGCGTAAATCTCGGCCTCACAGCTGGAGCCGACAACAGAAGACGAGCGGGTAGACCGCCATGAAACAGAGCCGGAACCAAGGCTGAAAGTGTAACCCTGTGACGTCCGCTGCGTAGCCAAGTCGTCAGCCCAAGAAGCGTCTGCGTGACTAGTGAGGACCACTGGACTCCGCCCTCCAAGCACGAGCCACATGCCCGACGTAGTGCACAGGTAGCGCAACACCCTCTTCGCAGCAGCCATGTGCTCTGGTCGGTGTCTCCCAGGAGCAACATAGCGTGCCAAGATGCTAAGAGGGTATGCTAGGTCAGGACGAGTGCAGGTCATCAAGTACATGAGGTAGCCAACAAGCTCTGGGTACGGGCCACTTGGCTCTACGGACTCATCCGAAGGCAGAGTTGAGAGCGAGTGGCCAGTAGACAGAGGAGTGGCCTGAGGCGAGGAGTACGGGAAGCCGAAGCGCTGAAGGACCTGCTACACCATGTGTGACTGAGTCAGGGTAATGGTGCGCCGTGCTCATTCTCGGGTGATCTGCAAGCCAAGGTAGTTGCGCAGTTCACCCAGGTCTGGGCACGTGTGTCTCTTCTGCAGTCGACAAGCTCAGCAACTAAGGCAGACGCAACAATGGACTCAAAGGAAGGGTCAGTGACAACAGTAGCCAGGAGACGCGTGACAGTAGGACTGGCAGCACGAAGGGAGTCAGACGCCGAGTCAGCAAGAGGAGGAAGAGAGGACTCAGGAGGAGACGGCAAAGGGACACGCAGTGGAGCAGTGGAAGGACGCAGTGCCATCTGGTGCGTGCCCGGGACCGCAAGAGGACGCTGGCGTGGAACACGATGACTAGTGCGACCAGCATGAACAGGCGACGCAGGATGAGACTCAGGCTCACGACGCTCAGCAAGACCTCCAGTAGGACCAGTATAGGGAGGAGGAGCAGGCAGCGGGGAGGCGAGCTGTAACTGTGACTCGGACTGGACAGGCGGTGGACACTCTAAGGAGGGAGCAGGACTTGTAGAAGGCAAGAGACCATGAACCTGCTCAAGGAGCGGAACGAAGTATGGCCGCGGCCGAGCAGTGCCTCCAGAACCGGCAAGGACAACATCAGCACCCCCAGCGTCAGCACCAACGCCAGCAGCACCACCAGCTCCAGTAGCACCCCCAGGAGCTCCAGCAGCGGCAACACCTCCAGCAGCTCCAGCTCCAGCAGGACCATCGGAAGACTCAGCAGCACCAGCTCCAGTAGTACCTTTAGCAGTACCTACAACAGCAGCACCTCTAGCTCCAGCACCAGAAGCACCACCAGGCCCAGCAGCTCCAGTACCGCCGGTACGAGCACCTCCGGGACTCGTGGCTCCAGAACCTCCAGTACGGAACACGGTAGGGGAAGAGACGGTAGTACGGAACCGACTCGTCAAACGTGACGTCCTGGGAGGACAGAACACAGCGCGAGGGGGGGTGGTAAAACTGCCAACCAGGCGCGTCAGGGGGGAAGCCAAGCATGCCACTGACGATGTTCGGCCCAGGAGGGGGGACACCGTCAACGTAGGTGCCTGTGGACTTCCAGGAAGTCATCTCTGCATCCATAGCTGCCTGCCACTGAGAGGAGTAGGGACCCTCTATTCCCTCCACGTAAGAGCGCGGAGTCGGGATGTCAAGTGCATCCGGGTCTCCCTCAGGGGTAAGCAGTACGGACATGAGATGAGGTGAAGCAGCGGCCAAGCACTGGAACTCCTCCTGCCTGTCCTCAAGGACGTCCGTGCCAAGGGCACACTCACCCCCGACGGACGGAGGACAGACAGACTCAGACTCAGCGATAAGACTAGCAGCGTAGTCTAGGCGAGAGCGAGCAGCAAAGTCGACGAGCTCAGCAACTAGGGCACACGCAGCAGTGGACTCAAAGGAAGGGTCAGTAACGACAGTAGCAAGGAGACGCGTAATAGTGGGACTGGCAGCACGAAGAGAGTCCGACACCATGTCGGCAAGAGTAGGAAGAGAGGACGCAGGAGGAGAAGGCAAAGGGGCACGCAGAGGAGCAGTGGACGGACGCAGAGACATCTGGTGCGTGCCAGGGACAGGGGGAGGACGCTGAAGCGAACCGCGACCACTAGTGCGAGCAGCACGAACAGGCGACGCAGGACGAGCCGCAGGCTCACGACGCTCAGCAAGACCTCCAGTAGGACCAGTGTAGGGAGAAGGAGCAGGCAAAGGGGAGGTAGGCTGCAATTGTAACTGTGACTGGACAGGCTGTGGACACTCTAAGGAGGGAGGAGGACCAGTAGAAGGCGGAAGACCAAGAACCTGCTGCAGGAGTGGAACGAAGTATGGTCGAGGCCGCGCGGCAACGCCAGACACAGCAGGGACAGCACCAGTACCCCCAGCAGGAGCACCCGCTCCAGCAGCACCTCCAGCAGCTCCAGAACCTCCAGCAGCACCAGTAGTACCCCCAGCAGGACCGCGAGCAGTAGGCTCAGCACCAACGCCCGCAGCAGCACCAGCTCCAGTCGAAACCGCAGGCCCAGCAGCTCCAGTACTCCCAGTACGAGCACCTCCAGGACCCGCAGCACCAGCACCCTCAGCAGCCGAAGAACCTCCAGCTCCAGCAGCACGCCTCCAGCGCCGGGCAAACCACTCGCGCATCTCCGGAGGAGAGAGTGGCTCCCGGCGAGACGAAGCCCCCGGAGGACCTCCAAGCGTAGCACCTCCAGGCTCAGCACCCTCAGGCTCAGCACCCCCAGGCTCAGCACCCCCAGGCGTAGCACCCCCAGGCTCAGCACCCCCAGTCGCAGCACCCCCAGGCTCAGCACCCCCAGGCTCAGCACCCCCTGTCACAGCACCCCCAGGCTCAGCACCCCCAGGCTCAGCACCCTCAGCAGCACCAGAGTCACCAGTAGCCTCGACAGGCTCGACTGCATCTACTTGGGACACACCTGAAGGGGCAGGACCCTGAGGGGGGAGGGGGTCTACCGGGGGGGGACCTGGGACAAGGAAGAGCGGGGGCGGGGGGAGGGACGGAGTGCGGTAGGGGAAGAGGCGGTAGTAGGGGACCGACTCGTCAAACGTGACGTCCTGGGAAGACAGAACACGGCGAGAGGTGGGGTGGTAGAACTGCCACCCAGGGGCGTCAGGGGGGAACCCCTGGAAGATGCAAGGAGCAGCACGAGGGGACAGCTTGTCCGCAGACAAGTCGCGGACAAACGCCCGAGATCCCCAGACCCGGAACGCCGATTCATTGCCAACCTTCCCCATCCACAGCAAGGCTGGGGAGGTCTCCGGTCTGGAGACCTTGGGGTGGAGGTTGATCTGATGCGCCGCATACCTCACCGCAAAAGGCCTCAGAAAATGGGGGGCAGCCGCATGCATCATGGACGTACGAGCGACGCCCATGACCATGCCAATGCGGCGCTCAGCAATCCCATTTTGCTGCGGAGAGTCCAGAAGCGTGAAGGTCTGACGAATGCCTCGTGCGCGACAGTAGGCTCTCAGAAGGCCAGAGGAAAACTCTCCGCCTCTGTCCGAGTGTAGACGCAGAACAGGAAAGTCCGAGCCAAAGCTCTGCCTGAGCTGGAGACGAGCTGCGCGGATCCAGTCGATCAGCACCTCAGTGACATCACCCTTGCTGCGCAAGGGGAAGACTGCGGTGTAACGCGAGTAGTCGTCAACAACAAGTAGGAAGTAGCGCTCGTGACCCTGTCCACGGACGCGGGCTGGGCCCCACACGTCCATGTGAAGCGTCTGCAGCGGGGCCTCTGTCGGAGGAAACTGGGAGGAGTGAGGGGCAGCCCTCTGGCGCCCCTCGACATAGGGGACACAGGAAGGGCCAGGCCCCTGAGGGAGGGGAGGGATGGACCTGGGGAGACCAGAAACAAGAAGACGAGAGGCTTTGCCTCTGAGCCGAAGCAGAGAGGGGTGACCAAGGCGGTGGTGCCAGAGGAGAGTTTCGTGAGAGAGGAGACGACACGAACAGGGGGCAGACTCAGGACCAGACCTGGACGCTGCAGCAAACACCTGACCTGACGCAGACACCCTACCAGACGCAACAACTGGAGGAGACGCAGTGGTCAGTGTGTACAGGCTTGACCCCGGCTGACGTGTAAACGTAGCCAGGTGTCGGCCTGTGCGAGCCTCTGTACAGTGCGTCACTCGCTGACTTGCAGGAGTGAACTGGTGGACTCCCCCATCCTGTAGGTCAGCACCACTCACCAAGTTCGTAGAGAACGAGGGGAGGTAGAGACCAGACAGGGTGCCAGAGGGAGCCGCCGGACACGGGAGGACTGTGGAGAAGTGAGACAGGACAGGACCCCCAGAGGGGTCAGCCAGAGACACAGCAACCGGCCGACTGAGCGGCGTGAGTGTGGTGCGGTCCCGAAAGAAGGAGCGAGAAGCTCCAGAGTCAAGGGCGAAGGTGAGGGAGGCCAAAGCTGACGCAGTACCTGAGAGCGCAGACTCACCAGTACCTGAGGACGCAGACGCACTCGCACCTAGAGCAGCAGCGTCGCAAGCACCTAGGGCAGCAGCCGCACCAGTACCTAGAGCGGCAGTCTCAATGCCCGGATCGGGCGGGAAACACCGGTAACAGTCACCCTCATCACTAATAGTCACAGAATACATGGCAGACAAGATAGCATCAAAATCAAGATCATAGATGGCTACTCCCGCCCTAGACAGCTCGCCCCAGCGAGGGATCTATGTGGCCTCAGGGAATTGGTGACGCCACGCGTCCGTCAGGCGGCCACAGCAGCGCTGGGTGGGGTGCGCACCCCCACACTGCTCACCCGCACGGTCGCCGGTGCGCAGGACGTAGGTGCACGGACCAAAACCCCCACCCCGCTGGCGTGCAGTGTACCACTCACGGAGCAGCTGAGGGGACAAGGTCTCACAACCACGCTGCTGCTGCTGGTGCGGACCACCACCGGAGCCACTCCTCTGCGTAGACCCGCGACCAGCTCCACCTCCACCTCCGCCCCCTCCGCCGCCTCCGCCACCACCGCCGCCTCCACCACCACCGCCGCCTCCGCTACCGCCGCCTCCTCCGCTCCCTCCACCACTGGCGCCACCTGTACCCCCACCCCCTCCACCGCTCCCTCCACCACCCCCACTCCTTCCGCCGCCTCCACCGCCACCTCCACCGCCCCCGCCAGCTCCTCCAGCGCCCTTGCCCCCCTTGCCCTTGCCTGTGCGGCGCTTCCCCGAAGGGGCAGACGCAGCGCCGACCGACTCGAGACCAACGAGGTCGGCAGCAGCAGCAGAAGCGACAAAGGGCAAGAGGGGGGAGGGAGAACACCCCTCAAAGACAGGGGTGCGGGGGTCACCGCGAGAACCCTCAACCCTAAACCCGAAACGCAGGTGCTCGAGCCACGACTTCGACTCAAAAGGGCGCCCGTCTGCGTCAACTGCTACGACAGTGATAGTGGCCATGACAAGAACTAATCTAGGCACGGACGGCGGCTCAGGATACAGTCTTGCAAAAGGTGAGTGGTAGTTTGGCCCAGTGCAGCAGTGGTGCTCGGGCAGTAGCGGCACATGTAGACGTGGCGCACGGGTAGTTGCACCTAGGGCAACGGCGGCAGGGCAGTCGGGAAGGCACGGCGCGTGGGGCGGAGGTGCGCGTGGCAGCGCCCAGGCAGGCGCAGGAGGGCGGTAGACGGGCAGGCGCAGCGCACGGGCAGCTGCACGTCAGGTAGCGACGGTAGGGCAACGCGCACGGGCAGGCACGGTGCGCGAGGCAGCATACGGGGCAGCGTGCGGGCAGGCACGGCGCACGAGGTAGTGCACGGGCAGAGCAGCGCGTGCAGGCAGGCGTGGCACATGGGGCAGTGTACGAGCAGGTGCGGCACGCGGAACAGTGCGCGGGCAGGGCAGCGTGCCCGGGCAGGTGCGGCGCGCGGGGCAGCGTACGGGCAGGTGCAGTTTGCGGGGCAGAGCACGGGCAAGGCAGTGCGCGCGGGGCAGTGCATGGACAGTGTTGGATGCACGTCATTCTGAGTGCATGTCATCCTAACGTCTTGCCGAGTGTTCGTGCTATTCATACGTGCATTGTTTGCATGAGCATATGTTATTGTGCATGGCTGTTGGATATTTTCATCTGTGTTTTTCTCCAAGTTTAAATGCTTGATCGTGCAGGAGAAATCCAGAGCTTTCCAACGATACCAAGATCACCTTATTCCGACCAAGATCGCCCAAGTTACAAGATTTCCAAGACTTGGATTTCTTATTACATTTTGGGGTTATATCTAATTTGGGTGATTACTTGGACATGAATATAAAGGGATCTTTGGTTGGGTGGTTAGGGAAGGAAACTTTGACTTTGGATTGGGGTGGCTAGAAGTTTCTAGCATGGGTTGCAGATGTTGAAACACCTAGGCAAAATCCAACTAGATTGGATTTTGCATGTGACACCTCAAGGAACTCATGATGAGGGTTGCATCCTTGCTGCTAGGAAGGTTCCTACCATCCTTCCCTAGCTCTTGGAGAACCCCTTCCCTCTCATGGTTCTCTTGGAGTCCCCAACTCCAACTTTCTATGCCTACATGCTTGTACTTCCTCCACTATTCTAGTCATGCAGCAGCTATACGTTTTCAAGTGGTTCTCACTCTTTAGACCATCTTTTTAAATGATTCAACTTGGAGATGGTAGCTAAGCCTAAGGCGCAACATCCTGTCGAGCGGATTTGCGTTTAGTTGAGAAATGAGTTCGTCGTAAGCTCTCGAAGTGACGGATTCTGAACAACGGACAGGGCAGTGCGCACGGGCAGGCACAGGTAACGAGCGGTAGGTACGGACCTAACCTAGCGACGGATACTAAGTCAACAAGTGTGAATATCGGAATGGTGTTTGGCTAACAGAATGGGAGTACAAGTAGGAAACCCTAGAAAGATCTACCCCCTAGCCCCGCTGTAGCTTATAAAATATATGAACATGCAGTTTAAAAAAGTGGGTCACCCGTGGTTTACCTGCAGGACTAAACCCAAGATTGGAGCACCCCGACGAACTGGACCCAAGATGGGAGCGGCGCTGGAGCGGCAGCCAATGACGAACCGGCTGAACATGAGGAGAGGGAAGCCGGTCAGTTCTTCCACGTTGGAGAGCATGAAGAGGATGCAGTGCTCGCCCACGCTGGAGACGAGCTGCACCCGCTCAACGCGCATATTCTTGATTCAGGAGTGGTATGGACTATGACTCCAAGGGCCGAACTCCTGGACAAAGTGAGGGTAGCACCACTTAAGGAAGTGAAGTTAGCTTCTGGACATGCGCTGAAGGTGGGGAGCGGGGCGCGCTGCATTCAAGGGATCGGATGGTAAGCCGATGTTTCTCAGGAGGAGTGCAACGCTGTAGCTGCAGAGGAGCTGAAAATTTTGGCAAGGGGAGGTGAAACTGACTAGATGACAGCTCACCGTCGCCTCGGGCACATTGCTATGCCCGCACTGCAGCAATTGCACAAGCAAGTGGGGGTTAAGGGGTTGAAGTTGATAGGTGCAGCAGCGACCCTCGAGTGTGTGAAACTTGCCCGCTGAGCAAGTTCACTCGGTTCCCATTCCATGCAACCAAGGGTGGTGGAAAGAAGTTGCTGGAGCTAGTGTAACAGGGTGTGCTGGGGCCGCTATCGGTGTTGGGGGAGCGTGGTGATTTTTTTTTTCTCACCATCGTGGATGAGTGGAGCTATGTTACCTGGGCATACCCTATCAAGAAGAACGACCATGTGCCGTCAATTATACGTGATGAGTGGCAGCCGTTGGTGGAGAAACACTCCGAGCACAAGGTGATGTGGATCATGAATGATAGGGGAGAAGAGTTTCTTGGGGAGGAGCTGATTGCATGGTTAAAGGAGCAGGGCATCATCCGTGAACTCACCACCTCCTACACACCGCAATCTACCGGCGTAGCAGAACGGGCAAATCGCACGGTGTTAGAAACAGCACTTGCACTTTTTATCGAATCCGGATTTGGCAATGCAAAGTGGTGTCAAACACTTCCGCATAGTATATAGCAATCAACATAAAAGATGAGCTTTTATGAGGCTTGGAACTTTCATGAGCGGTCCTTTTTATTCATGAAAATTAATGAACTTACATGACTCCAGATAAACGTTCATGACGCTGTCGGAAATTCCCTTACCTCTCCCTGTCCTGGTGTCCCTCTCCTATCTCTCCCTCCTTTCTTCCCCACTCTCTGCTGGTTCTCTTGTCTTGTGTGTATCACACCCTTGTTGCTTTCTGGCCATGCTGACTCTTGTCTTTGAAGTTGTTCCTTTCTGCTGCTTGGTGGTACCTCCTTGCTGACTCTACTTCTTCTGATGCTGGGTATTCCCCGATAAGCCCATTCAGCTTACTCACATCTGCTAACGAGTACTGCCTACAGCGCTCCCTCCATATCTCCAAAGTGTGTTATGGCCTGACACTCACTCCCACATGATTCTCATGAGTACTACAGAACATACAAACAATGCAGAGTCAAATGCCCGTACCCCCTATATCTGTGCCTGCAGCCTCCCCCTATTGCTACACCCTTAGATCCCCTTGAAGATGAAAGCCTTCCGCCGAAGCGAAGGGCCAACCTTCCCCCCTTTTGCCACCGCCACTTAGCCGCCCTGCCGCTTATCCTCCAGCGCGTGCCTGTAATTCCAGCTGGCTCGAGCATTCAGCCTGCAAGGAAACGAAACATGCACACTTCACACGAAACAAAAGCTCCTTCCAGCTGTTACCCTGTCCCACTTCGCCCATGGGACGCTTTGTTGACACAGCAACCCTCAGGCCCCCAGCCATCAACCACACCTCGCTTCTCGTCCTCGGTATTCAGGTACGCGGCGATCTGTACAAATATACAGTATGTACACTCACTTCCCTGCTCGGTAAAACTCGCGACAGCCGTCGGAAATTCCCTTACCTCTCCCTGTCCTGGTGTCCCTCTCCTGTCTCTCCCTCCTTTCTTCCCCACTCTCTGCTGGTTCTCTTGTCTTGTGTGTATCACTCCCTTGTTGCTTTCTGGCCATGCTGACTCCTGTCTCTAAAGTTGTTCCTTCCTGCTGCTTGGTGGTACCTCCCTGCTGACTCTACTTCTTCTTATGCTGGGTATTCCCCTGCCCCCTCCCGTGACTCTGCGCCGCCCTCGCCCTGGTCACGGGACCCTGATATCCTGCCGCTCCGCCTCCCGCGCGAGCCACGTTGGTAATGTGATCCACGGCGCGCACCCCGGCTTCACTTTCCAGCACCAGCACTCCTGACTCTCCCACTTCCTTCACCGTCCAACGTTGCTGTGACAGCCCCACATCCAGGCCATCCTTCTCGGATATACACTTCCTGTCCCTGCTGTAGTGCCTGCGGCGCTCCACTCGCCCTCTGCTCCTGGCGCTGCCTGTAGCGGTGGATGTCCCGCAGTTGTGCCACGTGCAGACTCTCTAGGGCCGCTAGCAACAAGCGCCGTTGATACTCTCCTCTCACGGCAGCCAGCGCTGCCCATTTCTCAGAGGTGCCAGCCATTACCACATCCGTCAGCACGCGTGATGCTCCCACTGGCAGCACTGCCTCTCTACCAAAGAGCAGATGATAGGGTGACAGATCCCTGAGTGCCGCCTGCTTACTGAACCTATACCCCGCCATGATCCAGTGGAGGTGCCGGTCCCAGTTCCTCTTCCGTGTCTCGCCGTATGCCCGCAGTCCGCGCTTCAAGGTTTGAATGAGCCGCTCCGTCAGGCCATCGCTCTGCGGGTGGTACCTGGACGTGATGCGGTGGGGAATTAGGAAGGAGGCCAGTAATTCTTCAAATTCCCCTTGGAACTCGGTGCCCTGATCCGTCAACACTTCCCCGCACGCCCCAAAGCGTGTGAGCACTTGTTCTTTAAAAGCCTCTGCCACGGCCTCTTCTGTCTTGTGGCTTACTGCCCGCACCTCCACCCACTTGCTCACGTGCTCTATCATGACCACCACGTATCGTCGCCCTCTCTTGGTTAGGGGCAGCTCCCCCGCCAAATCCAGTGACCACCGATAGCCCAGCCCCACGACTAGCAGGGGCTGCAGCTCCGCCTTGCTCCTCTCGAATGCTGCTCGGTTCCTCATGCACGCTGGGCATTTGGCAACCCAGTCCTTGATCTCTCGGCGCATCCCTGCCCACCACCATCCTGTCTGCAGCAGTTGCTGTGTGCGTGCCAAAGTGCCCCAGCTTGTTGTGCACCTCCTGTACCACTCCTTCTCTCTCCTTTGGCTCAGGCACCCTTTTCCATCCATCTTGTGTCCTGATCTGCACCTGATCTTATACCAGCGATAATGTTGCCCCCTGCTTCGAGCTCTCGCTGAGACCACCACTCCTTCTGCAGTCTCTCCCCGTAGCCAGGCCAATGTCTCCGGGTCTTCCCAAACATCCGTGGCTCCTGCCTACTGCTCCCTACGCAGCGGTGTGACGGGATCTGCCACCAGGGCTGCCAATGCCATCTCTGGTGCTACTACCGGCGGATTCCTGGAGAGGCCGTCCACATGCTGCATGGTCTTTCCCGTGCAACGCCGTATGGTAAACTGATACTCCTGTAGCTTCATCGCCCACCTGGCGTTCCTCCCCGTTAGACTCTGGTTCTGCATTAGCCACAATAGCGGCTGGTGATCAGTGACCAGCGTGAAGGGCCTACCTTGCAGGTACACACGGAAGTGCCCCACTGCCCATACTGCGGCTAGTCCTTCGCCCTCGTACAAAAAGTAATTAGCCTCTGCTGGGTTGCATGATCGGCTGGCAAACGCCACGACCTTCTCTTCCCCCCCTTCATGTTGGCTGAGAATAGCACCCATGCCTGTGCTGCTCCAGTCTGTGTAGAGTACCAACGGCATGTCTGCCCGCGGCAGCTGCAGCACTGCTCCTCTCTTCACTGCCTCCATCAGATCCTTGAGAGCGTCCTTCTGCTGTGCCCCCCACTGCCATTTGACGTCATCCTTCAGCAGCTTGTTCAATGGTGCCGCCCTCTTGCTGAAGCTCTCCACGAATTTGCGGTAGTAGTTTAAAAACCCCAGCAGGGC